ATCCATTTTGCATCATGTTGCAATGTATCAAGCTTGGAAAATTTTCCATTGGCATATAAAAAAAAAGGGGGGGGGGGGGGGGGGAATTTCATTCATTGAAAATTTTTATTCCATTTTCATGCGTAGGAATTTCATTGCATCCATGAGCTCATAGTTTTTCATGCATGCATGCAGCCATGATAGTTTATCTTTCATTCCATTATCATGCATGCATAAGAATGACAAATTTTAAAATTTTGCTTGCATGCATGCATTCAGCTCCCATTTGGAGTGCTCTAATTGTGAACCAATCTCATCCCAAGCTCACTGCCCAATTTTGGAGCACTCTAAATCCCATTCAGATTGCTCCAAATTACCACACCAACTTGCCGAGGACACTGCCTTCATTTCGAGCACTCTAGCTTCCATTTAGAGTGCTCTAAAATTTCATGTGCCATTTCGAATTTCCTCATCCAAATTTGGGCACTTCTCTGTTTGTTTCTCAAGCACTAGAACCATGTATTTCGAGTGCTCAAGCCTCCACTCCAAAAATTCAGCATGCTCGAAACTTCAAGTGCTCACTTCTACTTGTTTTTGAAGCACTCGAAGCCACATTTCTAGTGCTCGAAATACCAACCCACTCACCAACCATGCACACCATGCACCGACAGACCACCATCAACCAAACTTCACTAACTCACACAAACCAACCTCGGCATCCCCAATACACCACCCTCCTTAAATCCCACTTCTCAAAACAAACCAACCTCACCTCACAAACCATCATGCCACCACCATACCCCCCCTAACCCACCATCCAACCCAAGTACCAACCATCTCACAAGCAACCTCCCTACTGCAACCAACCATGCATGCAAGCTCCATTTTCACTCTCTGCCGGTTTCTCGAGCACTCGAAGAAGTATTTCGAGTGCTCGAGCTTGCTCGACTCTCACAAACCACACATCCCGAGCCCTCGCAACCCTCATCTCTCCCAACCATCCATGCATAGCCTCACTCCCTCACCTCAACCAACCTGCTGTAAGCAACCCAAGCAACCCACAACCCAACAACCAACCTCTCGGCACCCAACCTTCCTCTCTCTCTCTCCCAACCTCAACCACCTCACTCCCCAACATCCCTCCACCATCGGCCATCCTCCCAACACCCTCCCAACCTCATCACCTTCCTTCTCTCTCTCTCACAAGCAACCATCCTCAACCCAACACCCACACCTCATAACCATCCCAACAACCCTCATGCATGTCTTAAAATAAAATAAATAAATAAATAAATAAAATAATCATAACAATAATAACTATACTCAATTAAAAAAAAAAAAACAAATTTAGATTTTTATCTTGCACTAAAATTCAGGTTAGTATTTTTATTTCTGTTTTGTTTTTTCTTATGAGACCTATGCTTTTACCTGTGTACTTTAGTTGTGTTTTGATAAGTCTTCATATCCAAGTTTGGGGGACGCGTTTGCGCATTTACATCGATGGATATTTTTGCATTCGTCACTCTACTTGGTAATATTATTCTTTTACCTTCTTTGCTCTTATTTTGTTTCACTTGTCTTCACACATTGAGGACAATGTGACACTCAAGTTTGGGGGTGCATTCGGACATTTTTGGTTTTGCATTTTTGCTAAGCAATGATAGTATGATTTGAACTTGTCAGGGATGAAGCATATGTTTAATACCTTGTGTATAGAAGCAATTGACATTTTTGAAAATAAAGAAAATTTTGAGTTGAAATGATCATGTAGATTCAAATTACTCCGTATAAATGTCTCAATTAGATTCTTGCTGGATTTACACTCTTATAAGCTTCACAATGCACAGATGCACATTGGAAACTTAACTGTGAGGCATGTAACTTGATCAACCTTGACCTTGGCCTAGTTAATCTGATTTGATGAACCTGATAGATGAATATCTTTGGCATGATTTAAGTTGAAAAAAAAAAAAAAAAAAAAAAAAAAACTGAGAAAGAAAGAAAAAAATAACCAGTTGACATTCGTAGCCTTTCCAACTCGAGCTATTAAGCCCTAGGAGTGTCTCTACACTTAGCACCCTAAAGCCGTCTGGTTTGGGAGTTGTTAGCCTAACGCTTGCTACAAGGGTTGGTTAGAAAGCTTAAAGGACTTAAACATTGCACGGTCATTCAAAAAAATTGTAATAAACATGGTTCGCTAGAGTTCGTAGCCTTTCCAACTTGAGCTATTAAGCCCTTTGGAGTGTCTCTACACTTAACACCCTAAAGCCATCTGGTTTGGGAGTTGTTGGCCTAACGCTTGCTACATAGGTTGGTTAGAAAGCTTAAGGGACTTTAGCATTGCACAACCATTCTATGTTTCGCTTATGAGTTGCAATAAATTGTCAACAAGCAACAAAAGTTGTCTTGTAAATAAAATCATGCCTTAGGGACCTCATTTAAAGGGGAATTCAATGATTTGAAAACTTGTGCCTTGGAATTGGAAAAAAAAGTAAAAGCTGCATGTTGAGAATCCAATTCACTTTCACTGAAGTAGAGTTGATTTCCATTTAAGAGATGACAATTGAGTTATTTATATGGACGATGATGTTGATGCATGTATGTGGAAATGTATTTAGCCAATTTTTGTATCAATGCTTCATATATGCAAGGTAGTTTTCCCAATGACCCCATCTCCAGTTTTTGTCTGTTTCAAGTTGTATTTGAGCTATGTATCTATCTCATTTTACCATGGATGATATTTTTGTAGTAGCATGCCCATGGTTGTCTTTTCATTAAGTTTTTCATTGTAGTTTTGTTAAGGGACTAGCAAAATGTAAGTTTGGGGGTGTGATAAGCGCCGAATATTGTATATTCAAGCGCCCTAAATTGCATTAGTTAAGTTCATCGTTTGATTATTTAAGTAGATTATCTTCATTTGTGTGTATGTATATATTTTCAGGTCCATTTGCCAAAAAAGGAGCAAAATCAAGGCTTTGTAGAGTTTTGGCCATCAAAAGGCACAATTCTGAATTTCTGGCAGCAGTGGAGTCAGGACTTTGCTCACCATTTTGACCTTGGAAACTCGAGAACTGGACTTCCATTATAAAATGGCATATTTAGAGCTCTGAATTAGCTTTCCAAATCTATAAGCGGTTCATCATTCGGAGCTCGGACCAGAGAGTTATGGCCTTGTTACCAGAGGTGCGCAGAACTGCCTGGCAGCAATGAAATTTTGCCTTGATCTTCCTTTTCGACCAACCATCCTTGAGAATTGGATCTCCACCAAAACATGAAGTTTTTAGAGCTCTGAATTAGCTTTCAAAATCTTCAAACGGTTCATCATTTGGAGTTCAGAGCACAAAGTTATGGCCATTTTACCAAAGTAGGTCTGGGCGGAGCAAACCAAGCATAGGGCAATCTGGCCAATTTTCGAGTGCTCGAGGCCTTATTTCGAGTGCTCGAAATTAGGGCAGATTGCTTCACGAGATCAGCAGTGGAGTCAGGACTTTGCTCGCCATTTTGACCCAGAAAGCTCGAGAACTGGACTTCCATCATAAGATAAAAGATTTAGAGCTCTGAATTAGCTTTCTAAATCTTCAAACGGTTCATCATTCGGAGCTTGGAGCAGAGAGTTATGGCCTTGTTACCAGAGGTGCGCAGAACTGCCTGGCAGCACTGAAGTACTGCCTTTCTCCCCATTTTCGACCAACCAGACTTGAGATTTAGGTCTTCATCAAAACATGAAGTTTTTAAAGCTCTGAATCAGCTCTCCAAATCTTTAAACGGTTCATCATTCGGAGTTCAGAACTCAAAGTTATGGCCATTTCATCAAAGTAGGTCTGGGCAGAGCAAGTGAAGCATGGAGCTTTTTACACTAAATTCGAGTGCTCGAGGCCCTATTTCGAGCACTCGAAATTTGGGCAGTTTGCTCCATGAGACAGCCCACTTGTGCTCTGAAATTTCCAATTTTGGATGGCCCTCTTTTATGAGGTGGTTAGGGATGTTTTTGGAGGAGAGAGAGAGCCTAGTTTGGTGGTAGATAAGAGGGATAAGAGCCACACATTTCATAAGTTTCATTCTACAAGATTAGAGGAGGGAGAAGAGAGCAAAGAGGAGGAGTTCTTGAAGCTTCAAGGAGGAAGCTCGAAAATGGAGGGGAAAGCCTTGCTTCTTCCTTCATCTAGGGCCACCATGGGTAACTAAACCTCTTCTAGGGAGGTGATGAAGCTCCATTTTGTAAGCTTTGCTTTGTTTTAATTTATATTTGGGGGTTAATATATGTATGTAATCCTTCCATGAACTAGAGCTCTTCATTTGATGTAATGAATATTAATATCTATACATAATCATCTTGAGTTAAATATCTTGTCTTAGATGGTTTTTCTCCTATGATTATATTGCTAAATTTTCATAGTGACAATGGAATGGAGTTTATGGAAGTGTTGTTAATGGCATGATATTTAGGAGATTTGATAATCTATTGCTTAGGATCTTCCTTTGATAGATTATTCTTGGATTCTATGTCATGTGCTTCTACTATGTGATTAAAGGCTTGATAACTCTATGCTTAGTGAGTATGTCTAAGGTTACAACCTAGTTTAGGTAGCCAAAACATGCAATGCTTTGATAGGTTATTCTTACCTATTGATTTCATAAATTTCTTGAAGGGAATGTAATCATTTGTGTTGTTGCATCCCATGGTTATACATATATGTTATTCCCCTTAGTAAATCATATCCTAGCATGCTTATTGATGGTTGTGGAGTCTCTTCCCTAGTCTCTTCTCTATTGTTCTATCTTATCTAATTCTTGCAAGTCACTATTGTTTTATGCACTTTGAATTCCTAGTTTAGTGACCATCAAACAAACCCTTATTACCTTTATCATTCTAAGAACAATTCTAGACACTTAGGTTGCCATAGACTAGCGCAGTCCCAGTGGTTCGACTTACCCGACCAATAGCCCTATTTTACAATGATTCGTGCTATTGCGAAGGTTGATGTATAGTTAATCAACCGATCACCTATCAGGTAGCAGCGTTTATAGGATTTCCTTTTCTTCAGCATGGTCTACCTCATTGCTCTAAGATTTAATATTGCACCAACCTTAATAATATTCGAAAAAGAAGTTGAGTTTAGCATATTTATAAGATAAATTTGAAACCAACAAGCCAATAACAGACACTAAAGATAATTATTCATATAGAAATAGAATCAAAACCAAGATTACTTCTCTTATCAACCGCAAATTTCATAGGTGTACTTTCTATGCTCTACACCAGAATAGGTAAAAGAGGCGCTATCTATGCCCACTGTTCTTTGTTTTTCCAAAAAAATAAATAAAGTGCAGCTCAAATATTAGATAGAAATTCTTTAAAACTCATACCTAAATCAACCTCAAAAAAATATTTAAATAAATAAATAAATAGTATAGATAGAGAAGTAATCTAAGCTAGTTAATTGAGATACGAAGAAAAGAGTGAAACATACCTCTCGGCAAGTAGATAGCCGCCAGTAAAAGAAGTAGCAGAAGGTTGAGTGATTAAATCTATTGTATAATAATGAATGAGTAAAGAAACAACATAATAAAAATGAAAATAGTACACAAATTCTTCATATGTCCTTGAACTGATGAATGAATTGCATATATATATATAAAGGATATATATACATATATATTTATATGTATATAAGGAATAAATTAATAAAGATAGAAAGTTCAAACAACCTGTATGATTTCCCACAGTGATTCAGACTCAGACGACAAGCCTTTTCCAGATTTGTAATTTACCCCTTCAATAGGCCTTTTGTAATTTCGAAGCCCTAGAAAAAACTAGGGTGAGGATCATGAAAAATGGCAAACAGGAAAAGAACGAATGAACTTTTGCTTGCCTCTACTGAGATTAGGAGGTTGGATTAGTTGGAAACGAAAAAAACCTTCCAAAGGTTGCTATTAGGTCGTAGAGCAGGGCGACGTTGAGAAGAACTGAAGAGGTGAAGAACTGAAGAGCTTTGTGAGTTGTGACGGTGGAAGAGGTTTGCAAATGATACTAATTTTTTTTAGATTAAAACAACGTAGTGTAATGGGCTTCCCTATGTTGTAAAATGAAATAATTTTATAATATTTCATTTTTGCGCCAAACAAAAGAAAAATGAAGCGCTAAAGTTTGGCACTATTTTTTTATGGCATTGGGGATGGTCTTCAATAGACTGTGCCAAAAAAAAAAAAACCTTTTTAGGGACAGGTTTTAGGGATTTGGTGACATATCAGATTGACTGTCCTTAAAAGGCTGGTATTAGGGACGGTAAAATTTGCCCGTCCTTAATAATAAGATCTTTAGGGACGGGTTTTAGTGCGTCACTAAAAGATTGTCCCTAATAGCTTAATTTCTTATAGTGAATAGGCCCAAAAATGGTCCAACCCCATAGCCCCTTCGTCCATGAAGTTTGAGCCCGAACTAATATTAAAACTACTCCTAGCACGATCGTTCGCAGGTATGGTTCAATCGTTCAAAGTTTGTTCAATCGATCAGAGCTTTGATTCGATCGACCACAACATGCCGGCGCATAATGTGGACAAGGACAAAGGCTGAGATATTTATAGGGATAAGGACAGTAGTTATCAGGATAAGATCAAAAGGTTCGATTGTTCAGAGCTCAATCGTTCAGAGTTCGATTGTTCAGAGAAGGCAATTTTCAGCATCAGCCCCCTTTTGCTCCAGCTTCTCACAAAGACTCAGTTTGACTCTAAAAAGTCCTTAATAGACCGAAATTAGCCCGTTTGAACCTTATTGACCTGAAATAGACAAAAACATAAATTAGTACTAAAACGGGAAAATAAAGATAAATGAAAGGACTAAAATACCCTAACTTATGTGCTAAAATGTGCAACATTTGAGCACTTATCAACATGAAGTTTCATCAAGCTATATGTGTACAAATGACAAGATTTTACAGAAGTGATGTGTATTTGGAGGCTGATTCACTAATATGAAGAGAATTATTGTGAAAAATATTAGCCAAAAAAAAAAATAGTGGATTAATTGACAACTCTCTTTTATCTTACTCCCAAAAACAACGCACTTCAAAACTAATACTTCTACTAGACAGCAAAATATACGGAGTATATGATATAAATATAGTCTTTTTCTCTAGGAAGGTATATTACATAGGTAATATCACCAAATCAAGGTATACTAGCTCTTCAGGGCAATTTGTCAAGCAGAAAAAATGCAAAAAGGAAAATGTGTATGCAACATAAGTTAAGTGGAGAGAAATTATATAACCATAAACCAAATTTATACACACTAACTTTATAATCATATACATGTGAAAAATTTTAAATATATACGACCGGTCCTCTTTTACAAGGGTCGCGATACCAAGTCAAGCTTGAAAGTTGTGTGAGAATTTAGGAGGTGGCCAAGTTTTACATTTAAAGAAAGCCACTACTACCTTTCTCTATATAAAATATAGATAGGCCGAGTAGGGATCGTCCCAAGGGATTTGATGGTGTATCGAATTGTGAAACTATGGTAATTAGGGTTAGTAGGTCGAGTGATCACACAATTGGTTGGTTGGTTGATTAAGCTAAATTGAATTCAACTAAATAAAATAATATGAGGTAAACAAGAGAGAGAGAGGTCTTGGGGTGTAGAGATCACCACCAAGCAATACTTTTCTATACTACTAACAAGTGATCAATTGAGGGTAATGGATGTGTTGCAATATGATAAGGGTGTGTGTGCATTAGGTTGATTCAACTGGCAAGGATGACAAATCAAGCAAGTATTGTCTAAACATCATGTGAAGAGTACAATATATCTAAACAATAGAGCATATATTGTCTAGACAACATGGGGATAGCACAATAGATCAAAACAAGTCATTAATCCTTCATTAAGCTCACAATCCACATGCAACACAATATTAGAGAAATATGCCATTTGGACTCACAAGCATGGAACATCAAACATCAAGAGTAGATTGTCCTCCCATCTAACATTACACTACCACTACACTAAATCTACACTACTAGCATGAAAATAAAGCTATCTAGACTAGGGGAGAGGCACAAACCATCAAGAATAGGCATAAACCATCAAATGAACCAAAATAGCATTCATTAAGCATATCATCTTGATAATCTCTAGATCTATAGCATCAATACACATAGACATGCATCAAAAACACTAAATCTAGAGATAAGCACATGAATATCCTACTCTAGCATACATCGACATATGGATAGAATAAAATAGTCAATTGGAAGCATTAAACCATACAAACCATGAAATAATCAAGATTTATATATACATGAATATCAAGATGTATCATACAACACTAATCCCTCAATAATACACAAGATTAGAGTATAGAAAGCATGCTTGGGGCTAACTCTAGCCCCAAGAAGATGTCTAGCCACTCATGGTAGTGATGATCCAACCCTCAAGGGCTAACTCCATAGCCGCTCCTTGTTGGTGAAGATCTCCTCCAATGGTTGCTCTAGCTTCCTCCCTTCTTCCTCTCCAAGAATAGCCTCCAAAATGATTTTCAATGTGTGACAAGAGACTCTAGAGACCTCTCCAAAAAGTGTATCATATTCCTTATATAGGTAGGTCAAATACACCCTATGATGAGCTGTGGTCGTGCAAGGCATATTCTCCAATGATTGGGTGAAGGACGGAATAAATGAGCTGGACTTTAACTTTTTCTCGCTGGAGGAAGTTCGATCGATCGAACCTTAACTTGGATCGATCGAAGATGGGTTCGATCGATTGAACTGCATCTTGGATCGATCGAAGTAGTCTGACTCCTCCGGATAAGGACAAGGTTGAGATATTTCGAAGATATTTATGGGGAAAAAGGACAAAAGTGGTTGGTAGGCATACAGCTGTGGATAAGATCAATCATTTGAATAGGACAAAATAGGGTTCGATCGATCGAAGGTGATGTTCGATCGATCGAACTTGGAATTTCAGCAAAGGCCAAGGTTGGATCTATCAAGAAGTACTGTGATCGATCATAGATGTTTGATCGATCGAACTCTAAGTTAGATCGATCGAACTTTTCAGCTGCACAACTTTGATTCCTTTTTGCTCCTTTCTTTCTCTACTTTGCTCCCTCCTTTGGTTTATCTCAGGATTGCTTCAATTAAGCTCTTATTTGGCTGAGTTAGCTCAATTTTGGGATTAGTGCCTGAAAATATAAATAACACGTAATAAGTCTAAAACGGCAAAGTAAGATAGATAAAGGTACTAGAATGCTTAAGCTTAACGGGTTTAAATGCGCACTTTTCAGTACTCATCACACCCCCAAACTTAAATATTGCTAGTCCCTAGCAATGGACTACGAAGTAAGGAATGAAATGAACAACTATACAAGTATAAATTGGAAAGCAAGTAAAATGATAACACCATTTTCGTAGGGAACACGATTGTATTTAGCATATGCAACAAGCCTTTTAAACCCCTAGGTTACCCCTAGTGGACGAGTAAAGTCTCGTGAGGGTTTCCAGAAATGATACCCACAAACATTAAGCTCATTCTTTCAAAAGAGGCACCAATATTGCAAACAAGCATTGGGAGAAAACTACCTCAAGTATGCAATTTTTCAACCATTTCCAAGCAATTTCCCAAAATCTCAACATCAAACAAGCAAGTATGGTCCTCCACACATAAAGAAAATGATCGTGAAAATCGAAAAAAGTCTAGAATCCTTTTTTGAGTGGTCTGGCATCAAGTGTGTTGCTATCTTAGCCAACTAAGGAATTAATCACATCTTTACCCTCAAACTAGCATACAAATCTAGTCCCAATCATCAAGACAAAAAGTGGACCTTTTATTAAAGCTTTATTGTTCTAGGTGCGCTTATTCTTTTCACTCAATTTTTTTATTTTTTTTATTTTTTTAGGATCAAAGATGGAAGTATGGTGCAATGTGTTGATCTCTAAAGCTTTCTAGAAGATTCATGTAGCGAGCTTTAGGTCAATGACTCCCAAACCAGATGGCTTTAGGGCATTAGGTGTTAAGACACCCCTACGGACTTACAAACTCAAATCAACTAGGCTACAAATCAAGACAACAACCATCTAATCATTTCCCACTTCTCACCTTTTGGGAGAAGTCCTCACTTTTATTACTTTTGCAACTTTTTTTTTTTTTGAAATAATCAATTATTAACCTAGAGTTTGGGCCCTCCACCTTTCGGCGCGAGAAGTTCACTGCTTAATGAGGCAAGAATCCCGGCTACTCAATGAAAAGGGGTTGTTATCCACCTTTATCAAGAATGAAAGCTTTCAATGCACTACTAGCCCAATTGGGATATAACCAATTCAATAATCAACAAAGCATGTACCCCACAAATGAATGCTAGTGTGCACCGGTGCTAGTGTAGAATCCTAGAATGAATCTCAAAACAATCACAAATTCAGGATGATGTGGACCACAAATGCAAGCAAGATATCAATCTTTTGAAAAATTTACTCCTAAATGGCATCCTCAAGGCATACAAGGAGTATTGGACTCTTAAGTCAAGTAATTTTTAAATTTTAAGCAATATAGTCTTCAAAAGATCAAAATCATAGTTAGAAATGGACCAAGTATAGAAATATCCCTCAAATACACAAGACATGCTCAAAATTTGAATTTTAAAGTAACACTGAAACATACACCAATACCCCCAAACTTAAACTGCACATTGTCCTCAATGTGTGAAGAGAACAAAGGAAAGAGTATACCAGTGCTTTAGACATGAATGATCGGGATAGAAGTATCCAAAGTGGGTGGCATGGCCCCCCCAAACTTAGGATAAACTGTGGTCCTGAAAAGTTTGCACTCGGAT